ATGTGTATATATGTATATATATTTGTGTACATATATGTATATATATATATAGGTATATATATGTGTGTGTATATATGTATATACATGTGTGTATATATGTGTATATATGTATATATATTTGTGTACATATATGTATATATATATGTATATAGGTATATATATAGGTATATATATGTATATTTGTGTATATATACATATATATACATATATATGTATATATATATGTATGTATATAGGTATATACATATATGTGTGTGTGTGTGTTGATGTTCCTCTGACTCGTCCCTCATTGGTCAAACATAAGGCAGTTGTTGACTCCACTGTAACTCAGCGTCATTAACAACAACACTGACTGACTGACTGACACTGACTGACACTGACTGACTGACTGACTGACTGACTGTGACACTGACTGACTGTCACTCCTGACAACAGTCGTCCTCCACACGGTGGAGCTGCTTGTTTCACAGCTCACGTCACGTCACGTCACGTTGACAGACACCGACTCCACTGAGTCAGAACGACACGGGGAGGGGGAGGGGGGGGGGTGCGTGTGTGGGTGCACGCTGATGAGAAAGTCAATATATACATATATATATACATACTGTGCGACCCGGTAACGGATAAGCAGATGAAAATGGATGGATGGATGGATGGATGGATATATTCGTACATACATATACAAACATACATACACATATATACATATATACATACATATATATACAAACATACATATAAATACATACATACATACATTTATTCATACATACAAATACATACATACATACATATATTTGTACATACATATACATACATACATATACAAACATACATACATATATACATACATATATATACAAACATACATATAAATACATATATTCATACATACAAACATACATATATTCATACATACAAATACATACATACATACATCTACATACATATATTTGTACATACATATACATACATACATATACAAACATACATACATATATACATACATACTGTACATACATACACATACATATATACATACATACATACATACTGTACACACATATATTTGTGCATACATAAATACATACATACATACAGTACATATATAAATACATATATACATACATACTGCACATACATATACATACGTACATATATAAACACAGTATATCCGTACATACATACTGTAAATACATATATATACACATAAATGCATACAGTACATATACATACATATATACTGTACATACATATACATGAATATATATATAAATGTATATGCATATATATACATGTATATATGTATGTGTATATATTTATATATATATATTCATATATATTCAGTGGTTCCGTCTCCTGTCGCTGTAGTTGCTTCAATGACCCACCGCGAAATGGGAAAAAAAAAAAAAATCCCTAAGTAGAGCTGAGATCATTATTATATTATAGACATATATATATATGTTTTAACCCTTTACACCGACCTGTCCCGTCCCCTCAGTGGTCCACGCCCCCCCCCCCCACCTGTTTGCTGTGTAACCAATCAAACGTCATTTGTTCCCACTGAAGGAGAATGAAGTCCAGGACCTGTTGGAGCAGAGCAACCACTTCAACCTGCAGTTGATCAACCAACACCAGGTCCAGCAACATGACAAGGTCAGGAGGTCATAACATGATGCATTCTGGGAAATTCACCAAAAAAAACCCCCCAAAAAAAACTGGAGACCAATTGATGAAGCAAACAAATCCAAAAAAAACATGTTTTTTTTTTTCATTGTCATTGACAAAAACAGCAGGAAAAAAAAAAAAACCCCAGACACATGTAGGCAACAGCTCCCTCTGGTGTCCGCAGGTGAAGTCGCACTATGCCCAGCTGGAGGAAGCCCTTGGTGTTGTGACGCAGGAGAGAGATTTCGCCGTGCGGCAGAGGAACCAGCTCCGAGTCAAACTGGAGAACCTAGAGCAGGTGCTCAAGGTGAGGCCGTTACCCACAATGCACTTCTGCGACTTGAAGTAGCGGCGTTAGCGAACGCACCGCAGGAACCGACACTCTGTTGGTACTTTTGTTTCACTTTATTAAATGGCCACTAATTTTGTCGTTTAATTTTGTTTGTTTGTTTCTATAGAAAGAGGAAAATGAATTGATGCTAAGTTTAGCCTAGCATGCTAAAGTTAGCATGCTAGGCTAAAGTTAGTCTAGCATGCTAACTAGCAAAAGATATAGTAGTAGCTTCAAGGGGGAACTAAATCGAACTGCTAACGGCCTCGCAGCTCGACTTCTTTCGGGCCCGTCAGATCTGAATTTTGAGAGTGTCATGACTGCCCCCTGCTGGTGGTTTTTATATACTGGTGTCCAATGTATTTAAAGCAGTGATTTTTTTTTAAATTTTTTTTTTACTAATTTATATATCGACGACAACGAACGTGACTCGATTCCAACCAGAGATCGGATTCCCGCCCCCCGACGTACCACTAGAGGGAGCACTCCCGTAGTTTTGACGTTTGACGTTAGCCGATCATCGGCCTCTCCTGACGCGCCGCGTCAATTCCCGCTAACTAACGGAGGTCCACTCTCTGTCCTCTCCGTCTCTACCGTCCCCACTTCCTGTCCCCCTCCTGTCCCACTTCCTGTCCCACTTCCTGTCCCGGCACTAGCATATGCGCGAGGCGGCAGAGCGGCGGCAGCAGCTAGAGTTGGAGCATGAGCAGGCGTTGGCTGTACTCAATGCAAAGCAGCAGGAGATTGACCTTCTCCAGAAGGTAAGGCACTCGGGGGTCACCGCTGCCCCACCGTGACCTCTGACACAGGCCCCCACCACCCACGTCCGGCGGTTGCTTCCATCACCCTCACTGCGTCCCCCCCCAAAATGAAAAAAAAAAAAAAAAAAAAAATACAAGCTAGTCCTTTATCGCCACTAGTTGGCACCAAAAGGTCTAAGGTTCGAGTCCAGGTCAGGTTCGCTGAGCACGGCAACGTTCCACCGTACGCTGCTGCTGCCCCCCCTGTGGTCCCAGTCGGTTGTATGCAGTGGTGACTCTGAGGTCACCGGGGGTCAGAGGTCACGGGGGGTCAGAGGTCACCGGGGGGGTCAGTGGCTGTAGTTTGTCTCCCTTGGTGGTGAAGTGAAACCGTTCACGCTGCCGTTGGGTTTTTTTTTTTTCTCCCCCCAGGCTCCGATTGAGGCTAAAAAGGAACATGAAGGCGCCGTCCATCTGTTAGAGGTGAGTCGGTACCGCCGGCACCGCAGGAACCGACACTCTGTTGGTTTCACTTTCTTAAATGGCCACCGTTGATTTTATTTATTTTGGGTTTTTTTTTTTTTTATAGAAAGAGGAAAATGAACTGATGCTAACTTTAGCTTAGCATGCTAACTTTAGCATGCTAGGCTAAAGTTGGTCTAGCATGCTAACTAGCAAAAGATGAACTAAATTGATGCTAACTTTAGCCTAGCATGCTAAAGTTAGCCTAGCATGCTAACTTTGGCAAAAGAGAAAATTAATGAATGCTAACTTTAGCCTAGCCTGCTAAAGTAAGCTTAAAGTTGGCATGCTAGGCTAAAGTTAGCCTAGCATGCTAACTTTGGCAAAAGAGAAAATTAATGAATGCTAACTTTAGCCTAGTATGTAGGTGTGACTGTTTCATTTTGTTTTGGGGTTTGTTTTTTTTTTATAAAAAGAGGAAAATGAATTGATGCTAACTTTAGCCTAGCATGCTAAAGTTAGCATACCAGCCTAAAGTTAGCTTAAAGGTGGCATGCTAGGATAAATTTAGCCTAACACGCTAACATTAGTTAGCCTAGCATGCTAACTCTAACAAAAGCGAAAATGAATGGATGCTAACTTTAGCCTAGCATGTAGGTGTGACTGTTGATTTCATTTTGGGTTTTTTTTCTTTATAAAAAGAGGAAAATGAATTGATGCTAACTTTAGCCTAGCATGCTAAAGTTAGCATGCTAGCCTAAAGTTAGCTTAAAGGTGGCATGCTAGGTTAAAGTTAGCCTAACACGCTAACTTTAGTTAGCCTAGCATGCTAACTCTAACAAAAAAGAAAATGAATGAATGCTAACTTTAGCCTAGCATGTAGGTGTGACTGTTGATTTTATTTTGTTTTGGGGTTTGTTTTTTTTATAATTTTTTATAAAAAGAAGAAAATGAATTGATGCTAACTTTAGCCTAAAGTTAGCAGGCCTAGGCTAAAGTTAGCATTCATTCATTTTCTTTTTTGTTAGATTTAGCATGCTAGGCTAACTAAAGTTAGCGTGTTAGGCTAACTTTAACCTAGCATGCCACCTTTAAGCTAACTTTAGGCTAGCATGCTAACTTTAGGCTAGCCTGCTAACTTTAGCAAAAGAGGAAACGGAATTGATGCTAACTTTAGCCTAGCATGTTGACATGTTGACTTAACCTTGTTCCAGATGTGTAACCGTGCTTCCCTTTTTTTTTTCTTCTATCTTTCCCTGTATGGATGTGTTCTTGATTCTGGACCAGAACCACTTGGACAGCATGCAGGTACTTCAGCGTGTTTTTTAAATTTTTTTTTTTTTTAAATGTTGCATGTTCCATCTGCGGAGAACGGTTGCACTTACAGTGCAGCGGCAGCAGGTGGCGCCGTTCCATACGTCATCACGTCGGTTTTTAGAGTCACCGTCTTTTTCCTCCGTCTTTCCCTCATTAATTTTTCCTTGCTGATCATCTTTTTTTTTCCTCAACCTCCCCCACTCTCCCGCAACCCTTGAACCGTCCCTTCCTTGCCGCCCGACCGTCCGACCGTCCTAAGGCCAAAGTGCGAGAGCTGGAGGAGAAATGTCGGAGCCAGAGCGAGCAGTTCAACCTCCTCTCCAAGGAGCTGGAGAAATTCCGACTCCAGGCCGGGAAGTTCGACATCCTCGGCACGGACGCCCTGACCATCTGCGACTCCCCCGGGTCTCCCGGCAAGACCCTGACGCAGCTCCTGAACGGACTGGCCGGCCCCTTAGGAAAAGGTCGGACGTACACACGCTAACTCAAGTCAACTCGATCGGTCGGTCGACTTGTCGCACAGACCAGAATGTCGGTCTTTTGTTGTTTCTCCCCCACCGCAGGCACCGAAACTCCGACGATGAGCAGATCTCTGATATCGGAGTTCATCCGACCGCTGCAGAGTCTCGGCGGGGACAAACCGGAGCTCCTGTCCGTCAAGCCCACGTTCCTCAGCCGCGCGGCCGCCGGCGTCACGGCCCGGGCGTTCCTCTCCGAGGTAGGGAGTACGGCTAGTGACGTCTGCCGGGGACGCGAAACTCCCCGGACGATGATGACATGTTAGCATGCTAACATGCTAGCATGCATGCTAACATGCTAACATGCATGCTAACTTTATTTTTTTTAAAAAATCTGTTAGCATGCTAACATGTTAGCATGCTAACATGTTAGCATGCTAACATGTTAGCATGCTAACAGATTTTTTAAAAAAAATAAAGTTAAATAAAGTTAGCATGCTAACATGCTAGCATGCTAACAGATTTTTTTTTTTTTTTTTTCTGGCTCTCAGATGGACAAAGGGCTGAGCCCCGCCAGGTCGAAACCCAGATATACCGGGAAGGTGCGACTGTGTATCGCCCGGTACAGGTAGGATCACATCCCGCACCGAGACCGACCGACCGTCAACCAACCGACCGACCGTCAACGTCAACCGACCGTTTAACGTCTGTTTCTCCTCCAGTTACAATCCGTACGACGGCCCGAACGAGCACCCGGAGGCGGAGCTCCCCCTGGTGGCGGGGAAGTACCTGTACACCTACGGGACGATGGACGAGGACGGCTTCTACGAAGGTCTAAACGGGACGCGGTCGGAACGAAGGTATGAGGTGAATCCGTAAAAATTAAAAAAAAAAATTTTATTTTTTTTTAAATTCCAGGTGAGCTGCTGAGTGGACAACGGGGTCTCGTCCCGTCCAACTTTGTGGATTTCGTCCACGACGAGGACGCGTCCTGCGTCCAGTACCGAGACCCGGTGATCGAACAACTACCTGGCTACCTCAACCACAGTAGCACGGGGCCTCAGAGGTCAGGGTCAGGGGTCAGCGGCGTGGGCCTCGACCCGCCGGGCTCCTCCAGCAACGGGACGGGGCCGGGGACGTTGGACGTCAACATCGACGAGGTCGGCGAAGACATCGTGCCTTACCCCCGCCGCATCACCCTGATCAAACAGTTGGCCAAGAGCGTCATCATTGGCTGGGACCCCCCCGCCGTCCCCCCCGGCTGGGGGTCCATCAGCGGCTACAACGTCCTGGTGAACAACGAGGTCCGCATGAGCGTCCCCTACGGGGGCCGGACAAAGTCGCTCCTGGAGAAGCTCGACCTGAGCGCCGACACCTACCGCATCTCGGTGCAGAGCGTCACCGCGCGGGGCCCGTCGGACGAGCTGCGCTGCACCCTGCTGGTGGGGAAGGACGCGGCGGTGGCGCCGAGCCGCCTGAGGGTGGACGGCGTCACGCAGGCCACGGCCGAGCTCTCGTGGACGCCCAGCAACAGCAACTACGCTCACGCCGTGTTCCTCGACGGCGCCGAGTACGACGCCGTCCGGGCCGGCGGCTACAGGTACACGTTCTTCAACCTGAGGCCCGCGGCGGCGCACAAGGTCACGGTGGCGGCGCGGCCGCACCAGGTGCCCTGGCAGCTGCCGGCGGAGCAGCGAGCCAAGAGGGAGGTCAGCGTGGAGTTCTGCACGCTGCCGGCAGGTCTAGAACTTTACCGTTGTCGTCGTGGTATTTGTGTCGTAGTACTGCAGTACTGTGAGGTCTAAGGAGTACTTTATCCAGCCGGTGTCTTGTGTTCCGCAGGGCCCCCCCTCCCTCCTCAGGACGTGCAGGTCCTGTGCGGTCAGTCTCCCGGGTTCCTGCAGGTCAGGTGGAAGCCGCCGGCGCTGACGTCGACGGGAACCTCCAACGGCGCCAACGTGATCGGCTACGCCGTGTGCACTAAAGGACAAAAGGTTCGGGGTTTTCGCGCCTCTCCCACAGGACCACCGCCAACGCCCTCGTGTCCCACCCTCCTTACCCCTCCACGTACCCCCCCCTCAAAAGACAAAATGAATGAATGCTAACTTTAGCCTAGCCTGCTAAAGTAAGCTTAAAGTTGGCATGCTGGGCTAAAGTTAGCCTAGCATGCTAACTTTAGCAAAAGAGAAAATTAATGAATGCTAACTTT